ATAAATAGGCTTTGGGGCTTATTTTGGGGTGTTCTTTTGAGGGTTTTAGAGAGAGGTAAGAGCATTTTAGAGAGAGAAGGAGGGAACCTAACATTATAATTATCCAATCTTGCACCAATATTCAAGAATCAAGGAAGCTAATCACAAGATCTTCATCTAAGAGGTAAGGTTCCATACCCTAGGTTCCAATTTCGAATTTGGGTAAAAGATGGTTGATTTGGAGTATGATTCTTGGGTATAAGAGCATTATTTATACATGCTTATACTAATAAGGTTTGTGGGAAGATTGCTGAGCTTAAATAAGTAAAGATTGGATTGTGGAGTGAAGGAAATCTTGTAGAAGAACCTTGTAGTTAGATTTGCACACCTAGTGTTTGATAAAATGCTCAAATGAGTTGAGATCATGAATATATTCCTAAAAATGTTTCAATTTTTGTTATGTCTCAAAATAGATCGGGATTGCTAGAATTTTCGGAATGTTATAGTAATTTAAGGAAAACTCAAAGCAAGGTATGTTGGCTAAATTTTCTCTCTTAGAATAGATATCCATAATGTTTCCGTAAGATCAAGTATGATTGGCTCAAGATTCCTAAGTTCTATATTCCGGGTTATTCCCTATAAACTTGTTTATTCCGAATGAGCCTTATGTCGAAAGATAGATGTTCAAAGTATGGTTTGCATATCAAAATGTTGTGGCTTTGAGTCATGTTTTAGATGAGAACTAGTATACTAATTGTGTGAGAAGATCTCAATATTCTTAAGACTCGAAATTGCTCATATGTATACCTAAAGTCTGGATTGGAAATGTATTATTGTTGATAACCTATAAAGGTGATTGGAAATAAAATAAGTGAATTAGGATATAAAGTGTGGCCAATGTGCAAGAGTGAAAGTTATACTTGTGGCCAATGGTGCCAATGAAATAAAATGATATGAGAAAGGTTATGAAATGAGCCTCGACTCAAATATTTTAAAATGACTTCGAAAATAGAATTGCCTAAAAGCTTTCGTACTCAAGTCATGCCATAAGTGGTTGTTTTAACAAATACTATGCTTTGTGTGTATTTCCAATGTGGTTTGCGTTCTTACATATTCGTGAGTGGAAATTGTGTATTATCCTTTTTGGGGAAAAGTATTTCCAAGAATAAATAGTGTGTTACTTGTTGATGATTTTAACTTGCGCATCAATTGCCAATTATATTACTCCATTTCTCGAAAAGAAATCTATTGTGCTTAAATTGTTCATTTCTAATGAACTTAAAGTTGTGATTTCCAGAATATTATATGTATGTTGATATTTATGATGATGATACATGATAGGGAATAAATGAAAGTGTGGAATATCAAATATGGCCATCGTGCCTTGAATAAAGAATCTTGTGAATGGCCAAAAGAGCCAAGGAAATATTGCCGTTGTGAATGACTAAAAATACTAGAGGAGATTTATACAATGTGAAAGATGACGAGGTAAATATATTTGCACCTATGTTATTTTTGTGAATTATTCTCCTTATTTAGGATGAGATTGATGTGATAAAATTATTCATCTTAATTGAAATTGAGATTTTGGTTGATGTCTTCAAATAAGACAGCCTAGCCGATCGGGTCGTGATCGGACTCCGTGCTAAACTTACGGTGGTATTGGTAATGATAGTAATTGTGGTTGATGTCTCTAATGAGATGGCTTAGCCGGTCGGGTCATGATCGGACTCCGTACTAAATTTACGGTGGTGTTGATATTGATAATAATTGTGGTTGATTCTCTAATGAGATAGCCTAGCCGATCGGGTCGTAATCGGACTCCGTACTAAATTTACGGTGGTATTGGTATTGATAGTAATCGTGGTTGATTCTCTAATGAGATAGCCTAGCCGATCGGGTCGTGATCGGACTCCGTGCTAAAAGTACGGTGGCATTGGTATTGTGAACACTGGTATTGTGAATTCTGGTATTGTGAACATTGGTATTGTGAACATTGGTATTGTGAACAATGGTATATCGGTGCTAATGATCTCCCAACCAAAAATTGTATATGAAGTTCGTATTTTGAAAATTATTATATTTTAACTGGACATTTAGATATTGTGGATTTTGACTTGCTGTTTCTATGTGTTGTCTGATGTTCTATGGGCATTCTATTTTGAAAGAGGATTTTTAGCTATACATACTAGTGCTATTTGAAAGTACTAACGTTCCTTTTGCCGGGGGAGCTGCATTTTTAATGGATGCAGATGGTTCTATAGCAGGTGTCATTGATCAGTGATAGCAGTACACTCTTTTCAGCTGATTTGGTGAGCCCCACTTCATTTCGGAGTCATGTATTTGTTTCTCATGTACTGTAGTTTGAGGTATAGCCGGGGCCTTATTGCCGGCATTTCCATATTACTCTTCTATTGTACTTAGAGGCTCCGTAGACAGGTTATGGGTTGTGGTTGATGTTGGGAACTGAACTAGATATGTTGGTATTTGGAAATCATATTTTTCATTAATTCTATAAACTGGTAATATTTTGGAAATTATGAAGGAAGCTGCTAATGGGAATGAAAAAGGAAGTTGTTAATGAAATCTTTTCAGTGTTTGATTAATGGAGTACATCTCCTATTATTTCATGAATGAGTTTGGGTAGAATGAAATCTAATAGGCTTGCTCAGTCGGGTTTACTCAGTTGAGCGTCGGTCGCGCTCTCCGAGTTTGGGGCGTGACAGATTCTTTCTTGCCTTCAGGTACGATCTCGTACTGCAAAAAATTAACAATCTCATTTCTACAATCCCAGGTTAAATATTAAAGCTTACCTCATGTTTATCCTGGTCAAGTGCTGAATGAAATAAATGTATTACAATAGCATTTTCTTCACTTGTTACTTCTGCAACTGAAGCAAGGTTAGCCAACGTGTCTGCTTCTGTGTTTTCTTCCCTGGGTATTTGCACGACCTTCCATGATTGGAATTGCCTGACCAGTTCTCGTGCATTTTCCAAGTATTGTTGCATTCGTGCCTCTCTAGCAGTGTAAGTCCCCTGCATCTGATTGACTATCAGTTGAGAGTCACTTTTAATCATGATTTGCTCTATGGAAAGTTCTCGTGCTAGTTCCAAACCTGCAATTACAGCTTCAAACTCTGCTTCATTGTTAGTAATAGGGTAATATTTAATTGCTTGTCTTATACTTTCACCTGAGGGTGGGATTAAGACAATACCTAAACTGGCTCATTTGACATTTGAAGAGCCATTGGTAAATAAAGTCCACGTACCTGGATTAGCTCCAGTAAAAATTTGTAATTCCTTTTCTACTTTAGGAATTATTTTTGTATTAAAATCTACGACGAAATCTGCTAAAACTTGAGATTTTATTGCAGTTCTAGGTTGATAAATAATGTCATATTCACTTAGTTCTATTGCCCACTTGGCTAGTCTGGCTGACAATTCTTGTTTATGCAAAATATTCCTTAATGGATATGCAGTTACTATGGAGATAGGATGGCATTGAAAATATGGTCTCAATTTTCTAGTTGTCATGACTAATGCTAAAGCTAGTTTCTCTAGATGGGGATATCTAGTTTCAGCATCTAACAAAGATTTACTAACATAATAGATAGGAGATTGTTTACCTTTGTCCTCCCTTACTAAAACTGCACTTATAGCTACTTATGCAACTGCAAGATATACAAATAGTCTTTCTCCATCCCTTGGTTTAGACAGTGGGGGAGGATTTATTAAGTATGCCTTCAAATCCTTGAGGGCTTGTCAACATTCCTCAGTCCATTCAAACTGATTTTGCTTCTTCAACACTGAAAAGAATTTAAAGCTTTTCTCTGAAGATCTTGAAATGAATCTTCCCAGAGCTGCAATCCTACCTGTCAATCTTTGTACCTCTTTTTTGCTTGTGAGTATATCAGGTATTTCTTCAATAGCTTTAATCTGTGCAGGATTTACTTCAATTCCTCTACTAGATACGAGAAAGCCTAGAAACTTACCTGAAGCTACGCCAAAAGCGCACTTTTCTAGGTTCAGTTTCATATTATATCTGCGGAGGATCTCGAAGGCAGTTAAAAGATGTTGAAAATGATCTTCCGCTTGTGTAGATTTGACCAACATATCATCAATGTACACTTCCATCGTCTTCCCCAGGTGTTCTTGGAACATCTTGGTCACCAACCTCTGATACGTGGCTCCAGCATTTTTCAAGTCAAAAGGCATGACTTTGTAACAATAAGTCCTCATGTTTGTGATAAATGAAGTTTTTTCTTCGTCTAAGGGGTCCATTTTTATTTGATTGTAACCAGAATACGCATCTAGAAAGCTTAATAATTTGTGGCCTGCGGTAGCATCAATCAATTGATCTATATGCGGTAAAGGGAATGAATCCTCCGGGCATGCTTTATTTAAGTCAGTGTAATCCACACAAACTCTTCATTTACCGTTCTTTTTCGGAACTACCACAACATTAGCTAACCAGTTAGGATATTTTACCTCGCATATTGAATCGATCTGTAAGAGTTTCTGTACATCTTCATCGATCACTTGACTTTTGAATGATCCTTGCTTCCTCTTCTTTTGTTTGACAGGTATGAATGATGGATCTTCATTTAATTTATGAGTCATCACCTCTGGAGGTATACATGTCATATCTGAATGGGACCATGCGAAACAATCTGTGTTAGCTTTTAAATATTCAATTAACTTACCTCTCATATCTTGATTTATCCTTGCTCCGATATGAATTCTTCGATCTGGCCATTATTCGAATAGTGGAACAGCTTCAAGCTCCTCAATCGTTGTTTTAATATTTTTGTTCTACTCTGGCTCTTGAATTACATCTGGTCTGGAGTCCACGTCTGTTTTCTTTGATACAATTTCTGTTGAAATTTGATTTACCACATCTTTCTCACTTGCACCCGCATCTTTTTTACTTGCACTCGTATCTTTTTGACTTGCATTCGTATCATTTTCACTTGGTTGTATCACCGAATTGATGCTCTTTGAAGTTTGTTGATCTCTTCGAATTTATTGAATTCCCCATTTTGAAGGGAATTTGATAACCTGATGTAATGTGGATGGCACAACATCCATATCATGAATCCACGGCCTCCCAAGAATCACATTATAGGCCATATTCGTGTCTATCACTTGAAATTTTGTTTCTTTGATGACCCCTTCTGTGTATGTGCTTAGTTTAATCTCGCCCTTTGTAATAATGGTTGAGTTATCAAACCCAGATAAGGAACGTGCTTTTGGAACTACACGATCGCCCATCAGCATTTCGTTCACCGCTTGTAATAGAATGATGTTCACGGAGCTACCTCGGTCAATCAAAACTCATTTTACATTAGTATCATATATAAGTAAAGATATTATCAGTGCATCGTTGTGAGGAATCATTAATCCATCGGCATCTGCATCATCAAAGGTTATGTTGCCATCTTCCAGAGTTTGGCGAGTTCGCTTCCCGTGAGTTATTGTGAACTTTGTTGTTTTCCTCGCAGCTGTATAGGTTACGTCGTTGACTTCTTCTCCGTCGTTTATCACATTTATTGTTCTCTTTGGAGACGGAGGTTTTGGGGTCTCTTGCCTATTTTTCATGTAAGCTTGTTTTCCTTTCTCGCTGAACAATTCCGTCAGATAGCCCCGCTTCAATAAATGTTCCACATCACCTTGTAATAATCTGCAATCTGATGTTCTATGGTCGTGGTCATTATGGAACTCGCACCAAAAGTCTAGGTTTCTTCTATTTGGATTTGATCTCATCTCTTTAGGCCATCGTACCTTATCCCCCTTGCTTCTTAAAACAGCGACCAACTCGGAGGTACTCACGTTAAAATGGTAGTCCCCAATCCTTGCGTTTGTATTAGCATCTCTGTTGCATTCACCTCGATCTTTTCTGAATCTCGACGATGACGAACTTGAATCTCTATTTGCCAACCTGTGATCAGCCTGCACATTTTCGAATTTGGAACGAGCTTCTCGCCCCGAAGGTCCCATATAAGGCTCGTACCTATTCTTACCGGACCTCTTCTCACATTCTGACCGCCTCGAACCTGTTTTTTCTTCAACCCTTGACTGAGCTACGATATCTTCTTCGATCCGTAATTTGGTAATGTACCTATTATAGACATCATTCCATATCGTGGCAGGGAATTCTCGTAGGCTCTCTTTAAGCCTCATCGTAGCTTCTGAACTTTTCTCGTTTAAATTGCTTGCAAATGCCATGGCTGCCCAATTATCAGGTACTCTTGGTAGCAACATTCTTTCACGTTGGAATCTGTCTATAAATTCTCGAAGCAATTCTGTATCTCCTTGATTTACTTTGAATATATCCTCTATTCTCTTTTTAACTTTTTGTTCACCCGGGTGTACTTTTATAAATAGATCTGCAAGCTCAGCAAAAGAGTCAATAGAATTTTCAGGTAAAAGAGAGTACCATATTAACGCTCCTTTAGTAAGTGTTTCCCCAAATATTTTGACCAGCTCAGATTCAATTTCCTAGTTGGTTAAATCATTGCCTTTTACTCCCGTGGTGAATGCAGTTACGTGGTCACGTGGATCGATCGTTCCATTATATTTTGGGATGTCAGGCATTTTGAATTTTTTGGGAATTGGTAATGGAGCTGCGCTTGGTTTCCATGGTTATTGTGAATATTTGTCGAAATCAACTCTTTTGATCACAGGTGGTACGTCAGGTATTTGCTCAATACGGTCGTTTTGTCCTTTCACCTGTTTCTGCAAGGTTAGTATTAAAGTTTGTAAATCATAATTATTAAGCGTACCTGGTCTCCCATTACGTGACTCGTTGGGAGTTCCTCCGCTTCCAGAATTAACCAACCCTGACCGTGAAATTTCCACAGTTACAGTATTGTATGGTGGAGGTGCGGGTGGCATAGCTGGTAGTCCCCTCACGAAACCCTGGAGAGCATCATTCACGTACTCAGCAATTAACTGCTTCACAGCATCTTGCTCGATAGTTTGTTCATTTCCATGTTGCTCATTGTTATGAGTAGTGGATCTTTCTGGTGATGCTTCTCTTGAATTGCGTGGGGTTCCTTGAGGTGACGGAACTGGAGTTCCTTTCACCTGTTGGTTGTTGTCATTGACATTCGACATGATTCAGTTGAGAGAGAGTGATTTGGAAAGTAAGAGAAGATTATCAGACTCCTGGCAATGGAACCAATTTGTTTAACCAAAGAATTGGATTCTCAGTTAAAGCCTATTTTTAGAAGTACTCGGGTTACTGATAATTAAGAAATTCAATATTCTCTCAGAAATAAGAAAGGAAATTAGAATAAGAAATGACAAAATAATCAATTGAAAGCACAAGAAAATAATTATATTCAAATAATAATCAGAACGTGTCCTTACAAGTGAAATTCCCTTCCCTTATATAGGAATTAATAAATATAACGTTTCTTCTCTTTTATGACCGAATCATTATGAGCATTAATGACATTAATGAAACGTTATAATTGGCAACCATAACTGTTCATGCAGATTATGTAACGGTTCCGATTCTTCTTCCACATTAATTAGAGGTTCATGAATCTTCCCTCTTTACTGTCTTGATTCATTCTACCTATGTCTCTTTACTGAGTAATTTAGGTTTGAGCAACCGTACTCTTTCGTCTCGTGAGTGATTTGCTCGTACCTGTTATAAATCGTGAATCTTTTAATGCGACACTTCAGTTGTCATCTTCTTAGTGACCCACGTATCTTGCTCTGTCATCCTCATATAATTCCACGTGTAATATTTATTTTTTACTAATACACCGCTAACTTCCTTTTTGGCGTTTGCATTAATTAGGATTTAACTCGATTTATACAGTACTGATGGCGTAATGTTGGTTTAACATGTGACAGAAAGTTATATTTTTTACTGGTTACCAATTACTACGCTTATCATAGATATATGATATTGTAATTTGTAATTACCTTACGGATCTAATTATGTACTTATCTTCCACGTAGTCTTGTTGAAGGACTGTGAAAGAAGGATTAGCACTTTGAGATTAATAAATACCTAAACAATTGGAGTGTTGGCCATCATGTACCAATAAATTAATCTTTGTTTTTATCCTTTTTCGTTTTCTCAAATGCCTAATAATCCAAACAGCCAATCATTTTCAAAAAAAATAAGCTATTAGCTCTTATTTGATGGGTTGTTTTACTTGTTTGTTGCAATGATTGTGAGCATTGAGCTTGAGTCAATTGACGGGAACTCCAACGAGTCCATTACTGGGATGATCACCCACCTATTTAAAATTATGGACTAAAGTTATTTTTCTTTCGTTTGTAACACGAAAGTCGCCCAACTATTTATATTGCACACAAATGGTCACTCAATCGGAATTATCAAACTTTTCGATGGAAAAATATAAAGTGACAATCCACGTGACTTTTTATATTTTTGGACCAAATAAAATAATTAACACCCAAACAAAACATAGAAAAATCACTCATACACCCAACCCGGTCCATTAAAAATAAAAATCCACTCCTAAATAAAACCAAATGCTAAAACGCATCCCTATTATAAATACATCTCTTTTCTTCTTATAAAAAGCAGATTGTTTTTCTTTTTTTATTTATGGTTTTACTCTAATTTTATAAGATAGTAATGGGTATGAAGTTAAAGATTAAAGAGAGTGACATGTATTCTTCTTTTCACGATTTTTCTTCTATTTCTTATAAAAATTTAATGGGCACGAGATTACGGACTAAAGTGAAACCATCAAAAAAATCTGTTTTTTTATAAGAAGAAGAGGAGATATGCATTTGCAATAGGAATGCATTTTAGCTTTTAAGTTTATTTAGCGGGTGAATTTTTATTTTTAGCGGGTTAGGCTGGATGTATGGGTCGATTTTCTATGTTTTGTTTGGGTATTAATTATTTCATTTGGTCCAAAAATATTTAAAAAATCCATGTGGACTGCCACATCACGTTTTTCTACCGAAAAGTTTGATAATTCCGGTTAAGTGATCATTTGTGTGCAATAGAAATAGTTAAGTGACTTTTCTGTTACAAATAAAAGAAAAGTGATGTTAGTCCATAATTTTAAATAGTTCGTGACCAACGAGTAAGCCGAGGAAAAATTTTATACACTATAGTATGAGCGTTCAGCAAGCCTCCGTGAGGTGCGCGTGCAGAGTCCTATCTTGAGATTGTAATCAAACGTTTTTGGTATTACTAATTAAAAGTTTGTAATGCTAATATTGTTATAAAAATATATTGAAAATAAATCAATAGAGTAAACTCAAGCAAGATAATCTAATAAGACATCCTGAAACCAGTAGATGAGGTGTTCGAGGAAACTATCTTTTGTATAGTAATTTCCTCTCACACGGTACAAATGGTTAAATAAAAATCTATCCCCAGGATACAATGCCTACTCTAAATCAAAGTTGCATTCTTTGATTTCCCAATCACAAGAACTTAACCCAAAAGAATGAAGAATTTGGAAGAAAGTAATTTCGAATATTTGTTATATATGAATAGATCTAATGATTAGGCGGAAAGATGTTTTATGGAAGATTGCTTAAAAGTTATTTTCAAGACTTCTGTAGAATGCCCTTTATATAGACAGGTTTTTGACCTTTGCTAACGGGTGCTTCATTTTAAATTTAAAACAAACAGTTAACAAAGAGTTAGTTACTCATGGAAAAACACATCAGTTAGGTTCACATAAGGCAACAGTTGAATTCAAATTTAAGATAGCAATCTTTTTTCTTTCTTTTAAAATAAATATTATTTTTAAATAATACTTATATATTATTTTATATATAACAAATATAACTGAAGATTACGCTAGTGACAGTTTTCTAAGAACATGCTCCATTAGGCAGAAGAAGAAGAAGAGAGAAAAGAGTGATCTTTGTGATGTATCCTAGTCCAGACTATCCCCTTATTCTCAATTAGCTTATTGTATTTTATTCACTGATCGTCAATATTTATCCCAAAAAAAAATTGGAAACAATATTAGTCTACTCCTATTTCCTNGGGGGAGCGAAAAGTAAAATGATAATAGCAGTAGTAAAAATAATCGCACGATGGGGAAAGAGTAAGAGATAACAACGAGCATAGATCATATTTACTTTTGTAATATTAATACATGCATACACAAATAGGAGAGAAATTAACTTTGAGTACAACTATTGCACTCATTATTTTCAACTTAAATTGCATTGATAACAGCTTCCTCTCATACTATTTCTGTTGCATAATTAGATCCATGCATGATCTCAAGGAATGCTGCAAGAAGTTAGAAATAGAGAGCGTAGTCAGAAACCAGCTGAAATGACCAAAACCAATGAAATGTAAACAATAATAACGATAGTTAACGGAAGATATATTTTGGTCATGTTAATTAGGTTTATTTTCGATCCAATACTTTCTAGGAGTATTTGTCATATCTGAGATTTATATGCCAATAAAAAAATATACCTAACTTCTATTAGTAACTTTAATTTATTTTTATTTATTCTTATTTTATATAACATTAGACTAACTTTTTTTAAAAAAAATTCATCCCCTTTGATTTCTCTTTGATCCCTTTTGTTGGAGCTATTACTCTTTGGTGACTCGAACTCATAACCCTGAGATTGTAGGTGGGAGGTGATGACCATCCGAGATGAGCTTAAAATGAAACGTTATGGTCAGTGAAGATTCATCTAGTCGACTCCAACTTGTTTGAGAATATTGATAAGTTGTTGCTGTTCTTGTTGTAGTAAACTTAACATATATAATCTTTTATATTATCAGGTGTAGTTTAACACGTAATTACTATATAAATGATCCGACACTATCAGTGCATAAAAACTTAAACTCATGCAATCACAAAAATAATCAACGTATATAAAGGTGAATTTACATACCTTTTGCAGTTAGTAGTAGCAGAGATGGGAATATTGGTTGTAACACCACAGCGTGATGGTAGGTTGGTTGCAGCATCTGGTTTAAGATTAGTATAACGAGCAGCAGCAGTCTTAACACATTCACAAGCATCTTGCCTATCTTGTTGGGTTGGAGTCATTGCTATTACTCTTTTCACACCATCACAACATGGCCCTGTTGGATCTCCACCTTGTGTTAAGTAAGGTACACAAGGCACTAATGTTGCATCAACTTGGCCACAATTAATGGCTTCCCCTAACTTCACCACAGCTAGCACCATTAACAAAGTTACTACTGCAACTCCCTTCATCTTAATTCTTGTTTTTTATTTTCTTTTAACTTCAAGTATATGATGTAGAAGTGGAAATGGAGTTAAGAGTATTTATAGTAGTTTGTGGGTGCTTGTGGACAAGATTATACTTGGAACATGGATAGCGTGTTGGACATAACTTTTTGCGGAAATTTGGTCTTTTAATTCCTCATTTCCTCCTTTAGGATGTCGTTTTGCTACTAAATTTTGTAAAATAATGGACACAAGTTTTTCATTTCTTTCCTCGTTTTGGAACTTTGCTTGTTGAAGGAAGGAATTCAGGAAGAGAACGAGCTTTTTTTTGTGAAGAACTGTTCACGTGAATACTAACTCAATTAGAAGCAGTTTTAACAGCTGTTACTTAAGGTTAAATGAATCCCGATCCCAAAATATTATTGATGTATACCACTTAATTCTTCTCAGAAAATCATTGTATTATGTTTACTCGAATGTGTTTGATATGATGTAAAAAAAATCCTGATTATATTGGTTTCTATTATTTGGTTATATATGTTAATTGTTGCACCAAAAATAAAGAAAACTTGACTTCCGTCACTGATTGGCGTAAGTCATATTTCTCTTGCATAATTTACTTCAACCAAAAATAAATATATTATTCAATCTTTAACATTCAAAACTATCACTAATATATCACTAACACGGGAAGAAATTGAACCAAGAAACTAATTTTCAAAGTAAAACATTTTACGTCATCCCAAATGCACCAAATGAAAATCTTAGCTTATATGCGAAAAGCTTGTCTTAGCCGCTTGACTTTTAACTACTACTATCACCACGTAAATTCTTCTCTCACACCTTAATTAAATCTATCAACCAAAGCTTCATATAATTGTTCTCCGATCTTCATCAATATATTATAGTATTTGAACTATACAATAAACACCTAATGTTTGGAAGTCTATTTTGTTCTTTGTTTTCAATAAAAGACGTCTCTTACGATTATTTACGTGTTTTCCCCATCTCAACTTTATCTCTATCGCATTCATACAGTTAAAAGGTTAAAATTTGCTTATCCCTTAAACTCAGAGATTGAGATTGAGGTCCAGGCCAAGTTTTGCACTTAATTTCTTCACTAGAACAACTCAGCGAGAAGATTATTACTCCCTAGTCCCTACTGAGGTTCCCTTCTGTCTTCGTTTATCCTCTGTACAGAAAAATGCAGGATAGCTCATAAAGGGCTAAAAAATTCTGGACCTTTTTGACATAAAAAACACCATAATTAACTTCTTAACTGAGCATGTATAGCATCTATTAACATTAAACCATTTCAGTTAGCCACTATTTTCTCCCAGAATCAGCCATTCATAGCAGAATAATGCATGGGACAAAGTGAAAATTTCAAATATAGATTCTGTCAAGCTTTGAAAGGCCTAGGTTCGCAGCTGGGCTATAAGGTTCAGAAGTCTCTTTGGATCTCGTATTGAAAACAAGGAGGAAAGAATAGAAATAAAGTGGATGCATTGAACCAACAAACTGTCAATAAAACCCATCTGGGCATCAAGTAACTTGACAAACATTCAAACTTACATTTTCACCGGTTAAGGCCTAACAAGCCCCGATAAAATCACGGGTTCAGTGCCTGTGGTTTCTTCAAGCCAGGTAACGATATAACTTCCTGTCTGTTTTATCTCTCTCCAAGAATTCCCGCTCAATCAAAGACTCAATTCGTTTCTTTATGACAACTGGGTTTGGCAGGAAGCGAGAATTTAGCTGCTTCGTGACCTCAGCAACTATATTGTTGTGATCGAGCACCCTCCGAGATTTCATGATTCTGACTATTGCTGCCTCAATCTGTGGTTTCCGGTCCTCCTCCACTCTTTGTCTAGTCTCCTGTTTTTCAGGCTCTGACTCCTTTTGTGCAACAACAGTACCTATCTTTACCTTGTAGAACTTGCTAGAGAATTTATCATTGAAGTAAAAAGCATCATCCTCAACAATATCCTTGCTCATTGGTTCCTTCCTCAAAACATTCTTCCCCTTAACGCATGCAAGAGATTGTAAGCACCTCTTTAAATCTGAAGCTGGTATTTCTGTAGCCTGCTCAATTTCTTTGTAACTCAACCGATCAGCATTGTTGAACAGCATAAGGATGCACATCTGGTAAGTGGAAACGTTAAGTTCATGCTTTTGTCCCTTTCCAAATGTAGCTTTCAAATCAGCAGTCCCCATATTTGTCTGCCATGACAACCTCCTACCTGTATGAGTGCCGAGATAGTATGTCTTGAACTTATCACAGACCCCCAAAATTTCAGGAGGAAGATTGCAAGTAGTAACGGACTGTGTTGGCCAGGACCCAGTAGTAAGGACCTGGACTGTGAGTGAAGGACCATCCGTGATCTCAGCACCCACAGCAGCATGAAAACCCTGCATTGTATCTTGTGAGGTCTTCATGTCAGTAAACATGCCTTCCAGTTTTGATGTGAACTGGTACCCGCATTCTGTTTTAAGCTTAACTATCAAACTTCTCTCAGCGTCATCAGATACTGTCTTGCCTGAGAGAAGTCTCTTTGCCAAGTGCTGCTTGTAGTACTTCTCAAACACATCTTTCTCCTGAAGGTAGCGAAAAAGCATCATCACTTTATCCAATACAATCTCTACATCCTCCTCAGTAACCCCTTTCAGTCCTTTCCGAAGTTTGTCATCCACAAATAAGGAAATGAACTCTGGTGATCGTGGATTCAGATTAATAAAGTACTCAAATGAGGAATTGAGGGCATTCTGGAATGTTTTGTCATTGTTAAATGCTGAACTTATGATCTTATCATGCTTATCCTTCTCATCCAAAAGCCTCTGCACAAAGTCTACAGGATCCTTTAACCTTTCTGGATCAGTGACAAGCTGCTTACCAATTTCTCTAATATGAGAAGTCATGACATCTCTAATCAGTGCAAGTCCAGTTGGCACTCTACGGAACAAGTTGTACATCCTTCCTAAATCTTCATACTTGTCATCTACGATCATATTCACTAAGCCTGAGTTCTCCATATGAACCAACCTGTGCATATGGCTTTCGATCATCTCTTTCTCCACCACATTAGTAATTTTGGATTCACTTTTTGCATCCAAATAGTGGGACACTCTTTCAATCTCTTCGTTGAGACGTTTCTCAGCTTTCTTCAGATAATCCCCACAATCACAGCACTCAATGAATTGCTGA